ATGACTTACCTCCGGCTCTTTTTAAAGATGGTGGTGACTTTTTGACTAAGGAATTGACGACGTTGTTTACAAAGGTTTGGGAACTAGAGAGTGTACCAACGTCATGGAATGAGTCGATAGTTGTCCCTATCTTTAAAAAGGGTTCACGTCGTTCTGTAACAACTATCGGGGGATAAGTCTACTTCCGATTGCGTCCAAGCTATTGGCTTCCGTCATACTTCGTAGGTTGTTCAAAACCCGAGAAAGATTGACTCGCGAGGAGCAGGCTGGGTTTCGTTCTGGTCGAGGATGTATTGATCATATCTTCACCCTCCGCCAAATGTTAGAACACCGCCATACTTATCAAAGGCCAACAATCGTAGTGTTTCTTGACATCAGGGCTGCCTTCGATTCGTTGGACAGGACTGTTCTCTGGGATTGTCTATTGAAGAAGGGTGTGCCTGAGAAGTTTATTAACATCCTAAAAGCCCTATATAAAAACACCTCAGGCAGAGTGAGGGCATACAACCACCTCTCTCCATTGTTCCATTCGAGCAGTGGGGTTAGGCAGGGTTGCCCAATCTCACCATTCCTCTTCAACTTTGCCATCGATGACATTCTGGAAACAGCTCTGATGAATGTAAGTAATGGTGGTGTGGATCTGTTGCCTGGAGAAAGACTTCTCGACCTTGAGTATGCGGACGATATTGTCTTACTGTGCGATAATGCCCAAGGCATGCAATCCGCACTTAATCAGTTGGCAATCAGTGTCCGTAGGTATGGTATGTGCTTTGCACCTTCGAAGTGCAAAGTACTTCTACAAGACTGGCAGGATTCAATCCTGTACTCACCCTGGATGGTGAGCAGATAGACGTAGTCGAGAAGTTCGTGTATCTGGGTAGCTGCATAAGTGCTGGTGGGGGTGTGAGTGATGAGATCAATGCACGAATAGTGAAAGCCAGAGCGGCTTATGCCAATCTGGGCCACCTTTGGCGCCTTCGTGATGTTAGTCTGGCTGTAAAAGGTCGGATCTACAACGCGTCGGTGAGAGCAGTTTTGCTCTATGCTTGTGAAACCTGGCCTCTCCGAGTTGAGGACGTTAGACGACTCTCTGTGTTCGATCATCGCTGTCTCCGAAGGATTGCTGACATTCAGTGGCAACACCATGTCAGTAATGCAGAGGTTCGGCATCGTGTGTTCGGGCACAGAGATGATAATCAATTGGTGTCACCATCTTGAAACACCGACTTCGGTGGCTTGGACATGTTCTCCGAATGTCGTCCCAGAGAATTCCACGTCGTGCATTATTTGCCGACTCTGGGACTGGTTGGAAGAAGCGGAGAGGTGGTCAGTGCATGACATGGTGTCGTGGCATGAAAGAAAGCTGCAAAGGACTGGCTTGTGTTGGTCCTTCACGACTCCCTGGTTGGGGTCTGAGAGATGGTGCTACACAGTGGCTAGAGACGTTATCAGATATGGCTCAGAATAGAAGCCAGTGGCGATCCTGCTGTAACCTTCTTTTACTTTCTTCATAAAAAGTGGTTGTGTCTCCCTTACCTGAAAGATTTTTTTTGATTGTACCTTTCGTTCCCTCGTTACTACCACACTACCTTACACCAATCTCTTCGTTATTGTTCTTTTTTTGCGCTCCCTAGCTTTTTTTTTCTATTTCTCTTCGAATTCTCATTGTTTTGTGTGGCGCATATATATTGGCGCTCTCTTGTACCAATATTCATGTGTTAAAATAAATAAATAAATGATCTCATTCGAAAACTTAAAATTTCGGGTAATTAATATTTCATATTATATATTGAACATCATTTTATATAATCTCGAAAATGTAGATAAGAGATCATATTTAAATACTTTTTTTCAACTAAAATCCTTTGAAAAATATTTATTGTTAATCTACATTGTTTTGGAATTGTAATATCTCTACTTCAATATAGCTTAATCAATTTAGTATATTATAGGCTAAAAAAAAATGGCGGAATTACTTGAATTCAGTTATTTTTTTGTATACTTATTAGCCGAAACTACACATTTATCCGTAGGTGGTGAAATAAACATGCTGACATCACCCACACAATACGCGTGGCATGGATGAGATTTCATTATGAATTATTTTCTTATCCCCTGTTAATTATCATGTGCCTAAATCGCCAATAGAACACCGACTTATATGACCTTGGCGCTGTGCCAAAACCAATGACGCGTTAATCAGTACAGAAGCCTAGAGTCAACTCGGAGTCCTTATTGGATCTTCTCGCCTAGCCCTGTCTATTTGAGTCCAGAACACAATTTCAACTACCACTGTATGAATCATGTATTTTAGACACACTCAGTTTCTATAAAAGCAAATCAAACCGTATCATACCATAAAACAGAAAATAACAATTATACAAGACCAGGCCAAAAGTGGCTGTCAATGTAACCAACATGTTGAGGATAACTTAAGAATAGTAAAACGCATAATAGTCAATAAGTCAAATGGAGGCTTATAATAAAAGGAATATGAATATACATATAATAGTTACTTAACAGTTATCCAATAGGAATATATGTAGTAGTAGTCCATAAATAATTCCTAGCAGTTACCATTCATTTATTCTTCGTTAGTATATAACAGTTCCATCCTATATTGGTACATTCCGACAAACAATTAAGCTTTAAAAAGTGTCAAATTGTATTATTCAGGGTATAGTTAGTTGAATATTATTTTGTATTAAACCGGATGTGTAATTTTTGCGTTTCAGAACATCATACATTAAAACGATGCATAAAAATCTGTTGGAATTTATGAACTACTTCTACAATGATAGTAGTTTGAACATTTGTATAAATCACACTAATTTTTTCCAAAAAGGGTTTTGTAGATTTTTTATTATAGTTGAGATCATGAGTCAATTGAAGCTAGACCACCATGGAAAACCTGGAAGCAGTGGACGGCCGATTCGTCTATTGTGGGACTCCTCAGCAGTGCGCATTCACGGTCTTTTTCAAATAGAAGCTTTTTTTTAGATACGGCAGCAATGTACAAAGACTAATAATGAACCATTCAAAATAATTAATAAAAACAAATTTTGAACTCATTCTTAGATTGAATCACATTCATCTGTTCACTCTTAATATGCTCAGTAAGTCTGACTAGCAAATGAATGACAACCCTGTATATGAGGAATTGAGATCAGTCGCCACAATCTATGGGTAACACTATCCATAGAAATTTGTGTTCCAGTTGGTCAACAAAATAAGCTAATTCATGAACGTTTGTGTAACATTTCCGGCTTGACCCATTCGTTTCATTAAAAATTAAATCCTTCACGGTACTCAACACGTTCAGTAGTGATATTTCTAGACATCACTTGGGAATGGAACAACAGGACGATACCATGAGATCTTTAAAAGTGGTCAACGAAGTCTCGTTTTCTAAAATCTACCGAAGCTCTTGCTATCAAACAACTCAAACTGGTATGATAGGAAAAAGAGTCGAAATTAGATTGATATACTCATTATAATTGCTACTCAACATTAATTCCATTTTAATTCAATGTCTTGATTACTCAATGTAGTATTAGTTTTGTTTTCCCGTATGACATTTTATTTTGTGAAACATACGATATTCTTGTATTCAATTGACCTAAACTATGGTCAACATGACATGTAGCATATGATTTGTTATAACTCTAAGTATTTTTCAGATATGTGATTTAATCCTAATTATTAATCAAAATGGGGGTACGAATCATTATATAAATGAGCGTATTTTCAACTAGGGTCATCGTGTTTTGAAGTTAATAAACTTTCACTTGTACCAGTCTTCGTGTTCTTACTTTCGCACCGTGGGAATTGCAGTAGTTCCTCATTTTTTAGTATGAGTGACAAGCGATTCCAAAATAACAATAAGCGACAACCAGATATAACAATTACTGACGCAGTCATGACAGTCGGCCACCAGATATAACAATTGGCAACGGGGATTTCGGAAATCAAGAACGTCATAACAGAAACCCAACTGGTTGCCAAGGAAACAGTCGTCATTCATTCTTTGCCCTGGTAACATGACATATTTGATCAGTTTATCCTCTGTCTGTCATTTGATTACTTTGTCGAACCATTTTTAGACTCGATTCAAGTTGATAACCCAGTGAGCCTTCCTCATTTACCTCTAATATTTAATGGCTTTTATTCATAACGTTATAACCGCTCATTTTTAGCCCTATGTCCTTTGGTAGTATCAATATCCTTTGTCCATGTGTACTATTATGATGCATAATACCACATTTCACTCAGTCATTCAACTTCATTTTAATCTTTGATACGTGTTCATACTAGCATTCAACCAAATTAATCCACGTGTTCTAAAGCTTTCTGTAATTCTATTTCAAAACAATACACATTAAAAGCAGCTATTGATAACCTAATGAAATAAAATGAAGTCATATTATTCAGCTCAAAACGCTGTTCTGATAATGACAGATAGATAAAAATTTAATTCACAGTGACGAAAATACATTACGAAATGGCCAAATCGCTTGCTAAATTACAGGCAATGAATACATTCGAGTTGCAGGTTGATGAAGAGGATTAGTACAAACACAGAACTCACCTTCAATGTCAAAACAACTTTAGAACAACACTTGATTGTATGCGAATCGGTGTATCGTTAAGCAGGACGTGAAAAGTAACTCACATAGGTCATCCTAAGATTTTTGGAATAAACAATATATTTTTCATCACTTTTCCGTCCCTTGTTGCTAAGAAAAGCAGCATTTCTGATTTATGTACTTTTATGTAGATTTTATGTTGATATATGTTTCCCCGATATATTGCGGAAATAAGGGAGTACTGATAATCACTAACAAACATTTGTATTTATACAAAAAATATATATTTACAGTAGAATCAATTGCCATATTTGTACAAAAGCAGTTATCTTCAAACGATTTCACTAGAAGACGGTAGTCTGAACAACATGATGTTTAAGTCGAAAACTTTACTAAAATTCAACAGTTTGGAAACTAGGTGCATGGACCTAATAAACAATTGAAAAAAAGAACTAAAAGTAATATCCGGTGGAATAATTAGTAATATAAAAATGATTTTCTTTAAAATGAACCTCGAGCAATTAATTAAAACCAAGACAATCAAATTTCTGTATAAAAGGTTTCATCTAACCATTAGAATATGAACTTCTTCTAATCCATCAATGAGACATAACTTAGCCTTTACATGTGATTTCAATAAAGGTAATCTATTAGCATAACAAAAATGTATTCCTAACACATGAATCGGGAAATACTATTCCAATTACATTTCATTGATATATTCGAATCCTGTTAGTCATAGTAATATATTAAAACAAACTGTTTTGTTTATTTCTCTGTAGTTTTGAAGTAAGATTCTGTTATATGTTAGTTGAAATGAAATAAAGTGACCTTACTTAAAATATTACACTAACTGATCAGAGATACTTTTTGATAGATTTACTGAGAGGATGGTGGAAATATAAACATTAAGTCGTATTTCCCATATTAGGAATATCTTAATTGCACGGTAGAGTAAGAAGTACTTAATCAGAACAAAGATATTTCGGGATGATGCAGACTGGAAAGTAACTTTTCTGTTATCTGCTGACACCAATCACGTGTAAAGTAACTAAAGTGAGTTGAATTTCGTGAGAAAAATAAATATTTGGCTTATCCAAAGGACTCCCCTATGTCCCTGAGCCCAACATAAAAAACGTCTAGACATGCAGTAAGATTTTATTATGCACTGAAGAATTTGCAAGACATCAAAACGGAGAACGATATAAAGGAATAAGTGTATTCAACAAACCCTGAATCATTCACTACACGAAAATGTTAAATACCCAGACAAACGAGTAAATAAAACCTCGCTGACAAATGAGACTTTTATGTATGGATGTTTACAGACAAACGAGTCAGAGATGTGCATAATTAAGGCTACTTATTGATATAGTTTTGATAATGTGACGAAATAAAACATATCACTTGAAGTTTTTGACAGAATCAACCATCTAATGATATAGAAACACTACCTACATTTGGTAGGATGTTTATAAATGTGAACTATGCATCCTCAAATATTATCACCTGAAACACAAAGACTAGCGTAAGTACCATGTATTGAGTAGCCTTTGAATTTATTCTAACCTCTTTAGTAGTCACACTGTGTGACATATTTGCGGGGTTTTGCATAGTAAGACTAAAGAACTTGCAGAACAAATTGAAATCCGGTGTAAAATAATTGATATTGTTTATATTTGTTTGACAAATACTTGGTAAGACATAGGTAAACGAAAGAAATATTTGAACCAGTGACTCAAACCTCTAACAATCAAATCAGTGACCGAGAGTTGCTTTTAGATTAATGCTACACATATGAAACATTTGTTTCTCAACTTTCTACTGAAACAATATAAAAATAATCAGAATGATATTCTTACATACATAATTAAACCTAACTCACCAAGATAATCATCCATTAGAGTGCCAACGGCGAACTATGAAAAAAAAATTCAAAACCCAGGTTAGGAATATCGTAGTACACAGACAAGCGTGGGTGACTTATTAAGTCTTTACAAACGACTAACTTGTATGAATAAAAGAACAACTGTAGACTACAAAACCATAATATTGATCGGAAAAAGACAATATCTGACCACAAAGCAATAATAATATTAACTTACAGAGAAAAATAATATTCATTTTACAAAGGTATGCAAGGCGAAATTTAGAACTATGATTTGAAAGACTAAAATGATATTACGTGAATATATTCGGTTGTCCTCAAGCGAGTTATGTATTTAAACACATAAACATTGGTAAAAGGAGGCACCCAATACATATTCGCTACATAAATCATTCAACTTGTGTGAGGGCTGAAATGCTGCCCGGGTGCCCAAACCGAAGCAGGCAAGCGAAGAAATATGTGGAATTACCTTACATCTTACGGCTTAGATTATCGTAGAGGTCAGTTTCCTATAATATAGTCAGGCACAAATCTGCATCAACCAAGGGTCCTGTGGCATGTCAGCAGGGGAAGATGAAATTAACAGGAAGAATACCAAAGGATTCGGAATAAAAGTAGTACCAAGTAATTTTAACTTCACAGTTCAAGGAAAAACAAAGAGTGTATACATCTACGCCATTGAGATTGATTCTGGGGCATGTCACTCAGAGTCTCCAACCACTCGTTACGATAGTCGTGCAGACCCCAACCAATTGGTCTGCACCTACCAACATGGCTCAGACCAGAAGTTAGTGACTTCAAGGACTGATGCTACGTTTTTGTTTTGCCGTTCCTAACTTTCATCCGTCTTCAACACCAGTCAGCATTGCGCGCTGTGGCAAACGGTGGTTGGGCATGCGTAATACGTAGACCAACCATCTTAGTCGATGAGGATTCACAAACTCATCGACTGATTTACCATCATTCCCTAATGCACTGCGTCCAACCTCACTACTACTTACCTGGTGATCCCAACAGATGCTGGCAATATTTCTAGGACATCTGTGATCAAAAACTAGTAACTTACGAGTGTCTTCTCTCGATGGCCACATTTCCCAGCCGTAACGTAAAACAGGACGAACTGCTGCACAGTATACTCGTCCCTTAATTAATAGACGGATATTTCGATTTCGCCGTAGGTGACGTAAGTTTTCAAAATTCAAACCAACCTTTTGAATCAGTGTAGAGATTTCGTTAGACACCAACCCATTAGGGCTGATCAGACTTACAAGATGAGCGAAGTTGTCGATAAGTCCGACTACTTCACTCTCTATCCTTGGTTCAGGTGTTGACGCAGGTCAGTTCTGAAACAATAAGTTGCATTTAAAAAGGGAGGAACGCATCCCAAACATTCTGGTATTGTTGCTCAGTGCTACCAAAAGACTGCATTTTATCAGTGTCTTCATCAAACAGAACTATGTCATCTGCGTATTCCAGATCGATTAGTGGACCTTCTGGAAGGAGATCAATCCCCGGAAATTCAGTCAACGAGGACTTTATTTCCAGCAGTAGGTCTATAATGAAATATAACAAAAACCGAGGTAGTTGACAACCTTACCGGACACCACTTGAGGCTGCAAAATCAGACGAAAGTTTGCATTAGCTCTGACTTGACTGGTAGTGTTCGAGCCCGATCGGGATTTAACTGCTGCAGCTAAACATTAGTTTATAAGTATAAAATATGGACGGAACTATAATTTGTGGGCGAACTAATCAGGTAAAAGATAACTGGTCTCGGATTTTGGCACGAAATTCACTCATGCATTTGGCATTTTAGCTTATGTCAGTTCGTAATGAAAACCATAGATCTAATTCCTAACCTTAACCATCAACTGTAAATCACAATTCTAAACCCTTACATTGGTTCATAACCTTCATGTGGTCGTAGTTATTAGGTGAATATTCTCAAGGCCACTTTGGCGTCAAAGGTCGTCCATAAATTATGGTCTCACCAAAATATATTTCCTGAAAGACCAGTAAACTGACTACAAATGAAGGACTGCTGAAAGTATGACTCGAAATGGAGCGAGGTCTCTTGATTACTTTGAAGAATACTTGTAACATTCATTACAAATTGCTAGCGAAAGCATTGTCGGGTATCATTCTTGGTCAATGGTAAACAGGCATTCCTTTCGACAACATGAAACATACACTAGTCAACAGCATGTTGTCTACAGCCCAAATGCTTAGGATGATAATAAAACTTGGGTCGGTCAGTCAGTTACGAATAGAGCAGAACCTGACAAAAATGTGTCGTTCCAAGTTGAGTTGAAACAAATGTAACTAAATGAAAAACAGAAATGTGAAGGATCAACTCATTTAGAAGTGAGGCAGTGCTGGTTACACTGAATGAAATCTTTAAAATAAGCAAAACTTACAATATCACTGGCGTCAACTCTGAGACCAATTATGCGGATTCTAATACGATCTTCAATCTGTACTGTTTGGGTCTACAATACAAACGCATAAAAACCCACCAGTGAGTACAATGTAAGGGAAGAGTGGTGACGAATCTAATCTATACTATTACATGGTAAAACATACCTCTTCTTCATCTTCATCGTTGAGACCGTCGGTAGTGGTCTCAGCACCTTCAAATTTAATATTGGAAGGGACAGACTAGAAGATGTATCAATTAATGGGTACATACATATTTAGAAATAAAAATAGTGAGAGGGCCAGCTTCCGCAAACACACCAACCTTAGTAACCTGGGTAACGATAGCATCTACGACCTCGCCCTTGAACGGCCGGTAGACGATGGCACGATATACTATACGGTATTGCACGAATCCTCTATTTGGCTGTATTATACCAGCACCAATATGCTCTATATTCGTAACAGCGATGATAAAGCCGTACCTGTACATCAAATAAGAGAACAACATGACTTACTTCCCGGAGCAAGTTCCTTCGACGTCCGAAAACAACTTGGTTTTCACTGTTTCTGTTAGATTCGGTCCAAAATATTTTGGATGTAATAATATTTCATGTTCTAACTTTATCTACAAAGCGAAATACGGTATAGATAGATATGACACTACATGGTAAAACATTTCGGTTTGTACCGTCCTACTTGTTTTTCCGGGAGCTAGTGAAGGGGTCCACTAATTAATTTGAGAGCTAATTCCAACGGTTGTGCAGAAGAACCATTTCTTATCGAGCCATTGTATTTTAAGATAAAAACTATTTACGAATCCGTTGGAGCAATCCGAAATTTTGGTGAAAGAAAGCTTAAATATAATAAACTTCATTTCTGTTAAAAGTAAAACTATGTTAAGTGAACTTCAAGTTCACCCAAGCTTGCAGTTCAAAAAAATTCCGAGCAGTGCAAATGACTGGAAATGGACGACTTATATATCCCCGAAGTGCCTAGGAGTTTTCATTCCAGTCTAGATTCTATAGTGTTTGATGGCAATATCGACCCAGTTCATAAGAAAATTTGGTCATTATTCATCTTTTCCAGAGTTTCCTCAAATCCGTACAACCATTGGTATTGACCGATTCTTTCAGATATACCTTGATTTTATTTTTACACATAGTATGTCACTGTTTATTTTAGGTAAATACAACGCAACGTATATCAATTCTCTTTCTCCCTCTACTTACTGACACATAAACAGACTGTTATTATATCTGTTATATACACTTGCGAATCGTACTTTACATCGCCACCTAATCAATAAAACTCCACTGTCTTGGTAAAGAGACAACTTGGATGCAATTCCCTCATAACGTACATATAGATATGTGTATTCCTTAGCACATTGTCAAGTCATTTTATATGTTTACTTATTCTTAACATGGGTAATAACTAAGTATTTGTATTCAGGGCCCATCACGAGCAATAATAAGACTTAATGATTTTTATTGTTCAGGTCAAATACAGTACTTAACTAGGTTCGATGGCGCAGTGTCTGCAATCATTTCTGTATTCAATATGAAATGTTTATACGTATCATTTGTGGATGTACTCCACTTGTAATGTAACTTTATATTTCCATTGCATTAAGCATTACAAATATGCAGATGCATGTGCCATACCCTGCTCTGCTTTATTAGCCATGGATCTCGATTGCTCTGACAGGCAATTACTCCTTTACCACACCTTTCATCACTAGGCATTAATGTGATTCCTCAGATTCCGATAAAGTTTAAAGCCAAGTTGCCTTTGTTCTGACAATCGCTTTCACATAAACTCGGGTATTATCGGTATCGCGTTCACAGTTCTAGTAGAATATCATACACAAGGTAATTTACAAGACTCTTATGTGCTCGAATTCGTATTTAGCGAATCTTAGCCATTCGGAAACTTGTTGACGAGCTTTCTTATAAGCCGTTGATCCTGTAATCGATATGTGGTGTGTAACGTTGCTGGTTACATGTCGTAGTTTCGGTTGCGTTTTGAAAGCTTTTTGTTCAGTGATTTTTGGAAGTCCAGATCGGTTATATGTTTTCTCGTGACTAAGCATGCATTCGGAAAATGAACTTCCACAAATTGATAGTTTAGTACTTCTGTCTAATGACCTTCGTTTGCTTGGATTGATGAACAGCTTGTGTTGTGTCAGGTCTATATCAGTGATTGACATCAAAATGTTTCCAGCAGCGAAAACAAGTGAATGCATCTGTGCAAATTGAAATAAAGTTGGACATACCTTCAGCCATATGTGGCGATTGGTGTTCTACTTACCTTGTGAAAGTCGATGAACGGTTCTTGAAGATGGTCACTTGTATTCGTGGGAAGAACGCTTAATAATGCACCACGGTCGACGAAATAGAGAACTTTAATTATCACATGGATGGTGTATAACAAACATCTATGTCCATCGGCTGCGGATGTTTTTAATGCGCGCCGGTGGGGAAGTTTCCTGAAAGAGTATTGTGACAGTATGTTTGAGATTGGAAAAACTGCAGGATTCCTAACGGTTTCCGGAAGGCCTACTGTGCTTGTTGTGGCAGTAATACCAACATTCAACAGTTTGGGTGTTCATTCCGTCATAACTAGGATAAGGTGTATAGATGGGAGAAAGTAATTACCTAAGAACACGAAAATAATATCACGATGTGTAAGAAAATTAAATGTGGTGCTTCAAAAAGAAGCGGACTGACAGTTTATCGTTTAGTGTCCAAGACCACTTCATGCTCATGATCAAAGATCCTACAAGGACATAGGGTTTGACGACACTTTTTTCACATCACTTTTATAATCAGAGTTCGGAGTGGAATGAGTTTGAATATGTATTTGGAAGTTTGCCGATACTCTGAAAATCTTTTTATCTAAGTACGTGAGCAGTTGCAAGGGATGTATAACGCAGCGTTCCGATTTGTGATCTTGTACAGCTATGCGATCTAATGTAGGGCGTGTCTAGTAAAACTATCAAGGTTTACATCAATGCTGGAGAATTATGAAATAATTTATCTTGATGATTTTTTCCCTAACAGAAGAAATGGATAACCAGTTATGTTCCTATGATCCAAATCAGTAAGAAAGTCAGATCTTATGTGAATGCAAAGACCGAAATTTCAGTATTTGTTTTAAACGCAATGGAAATAACCCAGTTGATTTTATTAGATTGAATTACGGTCTTCCTCATAGCGTTTTTGAGTTAATCTTATCAAGTTACGCACAAAAACTCTTTGCAAAGTTCAAAAGGTTCTAATGCGGGGAAAAACAACTTATATGGAAATCACAAACCACCTCAAACAATACAGACTGTGTTATGAGGCTAGGAGATTTTATCGAACGGAATAACGTCTTGAACACCAAAAGGAATGATTAACATGTAAGCGTTTAATTCCTGAGAATGGATAAATGTATTATCAACAAGGTGGAATCAAACATCTTTCTGCAAGGATCCAAGTAACTGTTTCTGGCAGGCAGTAAAGTCAACAACCACCAAATGCAGCATCACGTAACCCTGAGTTAAATCAAACACGACCTTATTATCAATAGCCGGACAACGTACGACGATGAAGTTGAGTAATGAAGGTAAATCTTTATCCACAATAGGATAATAAAAGTCCAGACAAATAGGAACGAAGAACACGAACCTGAGTAAAAGCCGAAATACAGGACAGGGAGAAAATAAAGAAATAGCAATGCCCTCCTATAAAACACTTTGGAGGGATTTTCAGTTTATTCTTTCCGTAACAGAAGATATTAAAGAAATTCCGATTTATATTGTGGTTGGCATTAATTACACAATAAGTAAACAAATTATCACCTAAGTATTCCCATTAGTTTTTTTATCACATGGTATGTTATTTTAATAGACGTTGTATACCTGTCGCCATAACAATAAATCATTATGATAAAATAATGAATAGGGCATGTATAAATCACGCTAACCGTAAAGTTTCGGTTAATCAAGCAACTTTTACGCTATTTCAGAAAAGTAATGATTTCTCAGAAAGAAGCAAATAATATTTGTGATTGGGTTATTTTGTAAACAGTAATTTTTAATACGAAAGAGTTGTTTGATTTCGTTTTAAAAAGGGTTTAGTTAATAAAACTTTAGATTGTAATTGAGTTATTTTTCTAATCCATTAGAACGTAAATTGTTTTTACCTGTGCATTCTTTTTAGCTAAGCAATTTATAATTATGACAAAAAATACTTGTCTGTGTAAGCAGTCATGTAAATCGGTCATTGTGCTGGGGAAGTGCGCGTTAGGTTTTTTCACATTATGTCAACAGCAAATATTTATAAGTGTGCAGTATTTGAATTTCTTAATGTCATTTGGAAGTGACATTGCAAACGTTACTTAGTTGTAAAGCCTGTAATTATTTTTCAAATCATCGGTTATCTTTGTTAAACATAATAGACGAACAATAAAAAACAGCATGTAAATTTTAATCTCAAACCCGAAATAGCTAAAGGTTACAAAAATAACCATTTTTGACAAGGATTTGAAATACTGGTTGCATTAAGTGCAAATGAACAAAACTAAGTCATACGAAATAAATTTTTATCCCAATTATACAGCTTATTACGAATAAGGTCAGCTGTATCAATTAACATTTAGGTATACTGACTCTTAATTTCAACCTAATAAATAAAATCCTACATTTATTTACTAAACGTAAAAATTAGAATTTTCACTATATTGAGACATTCTTATTAAATTCACGTGTACTATTGTTAGATAGATTAGTGTTCATTAGATGATCTTTAAATTTGATGAAACGTATAAGTGTATTACTAATACGTGAACGGTAATCATATTACTTTTAGTCTCAATTTATTTTATCGCCTAATCACTACAGCTTAATTAGAATTGATCAGTGTTAGTTCAGTTGACCTATCCCATAGAAACGTTGTCGTTGTACTAATGAACTGATCGTAGTAAATTCGTCTACCGTAACTATGTGAAGAAACGCTTGATTAAAATTTGCATGTACTATTGTTAGATAGACTAGTGTTCATTAGATGATATATCATTTACTTACACCTTATATTTGATAAACCTTTAAAAAATGTTTACGGATACAGCCTTAATCTCATCATTATTAATAAACTCAAAGGAATTTTTGATATTCATTTAACATTAATAATAGCTTCATCACTTGTTCTTTGCCATATAACTAAGGGATTGAAACAAAATGATTTAAATCAATTTGTGGGTGGCCCCGAAAAGAGCCTTTACTCGGTCTCCTAACAGTTCAGATCTCCCTGGACAAAAGCGTTGCCATGAGTTTGTTATAGCGCCGCAAACGGGACATTGGACTCCACGGACGTATGATGATGGGTCATTTACACAAAACAAATGTTACAGTGCTTTGTATGGACAGAAAATCCAAGCACTTTCATGAGCAGTTTCATTTGGCGGCTGAGTAAGATTTCAAATATCACAGTCCGTTGTAGTAGGCATGTTCTTTATTGCCATTGTATCGTTCCGTGAACTCTTCTGAGTTATTAGGGACAGTTTCCCGATTGTTATTGCTGAACGTTGCATTCAAATCGACGTTACTTTGATAGTTGGTAACTGCAGTCTGTCGTATCAACGGCATTTTAACATCTGCAGAAGTGGAGGCCTCGATCTGAAACTCGGTAGCTG